GGCCCGCCCCGGTGTCCCCCGGCGGGCCCGCCCCGTTAGGCCCCACCCCCGGCAGACCCGGTCTCGCCCCGCCCCGTAGTACCGGGCCCCGCCTCCTGGGTTTCCCGGCAGGCCCCGCTCTCGTCACGGCGCCGCTTCCGCCTCGCACCGGAAGCGGCAGTGGCGGCCATGGCGGAGCTGGCGGCGGCCGAGGAGCTCGCCAAGCTCGAGTACCTGTCGCTGGTCTCCAAGGTGTGCACCGAGCTCGACAACCACCTGGGCATCAACGACAAGGACCTGGGTAAGCGGGGCGGGCGCGGCCTTCGGGCCCCTCCGGGCCGCTCCCGGTCACGGCGGCCGGGGAGCATCGCGTTCAGCCAGAGGCAGCTCACGGAGGGCTGTAGTAGCCCTTAACGTAGGATTGGACTCGTTTTGTCAAGGTGCTTTTCGAATTTAGGCATTAACACCCATTATTCTTCTTCAAAATACCTTGTGAGCTGAGGGAACGCCTCGGTCTGGGCTGCCAGGGAGGGAGCTGAGGGGAAGCTTCCCCGGGCCCGCAGCGGCCACAGGGGCCTGGCTGTCCCCGCACCGCCAGAGCAGCTTCTGTCCCCACCTGCAGTCCTTACACTGCTTTTTACTTATTTCTCTCAATTTACTTTATGCTTTTTACTCACAGCCGAGTTTGTCATAAGTCTTGCCGAGAAAAATACCACTTTTGACACATTTAAAGCAATTCTTCTGAAGAATGGTGCTGAGTTCACTGTAAGTGACGCCTGAACGTTATTTGTTATATTTGGTATATGTATTGTTCTTATGTTATTGTTCCTGTTGTGCTATATTTTATAGAGCTTTCCGTTTTAAAGAGAGAGTTGTGAGGAGTTATTATTGATTTTCTTCAATTAGAAAACTGCATACTAATTAGCTTCTGGTATTCCTGTCTCCCCTGCCTTCCCCTCCTTCGTATTTTTTAAAACTTTGGTAGTCTTTGAAAAGCATCTTCCTGAGGACTCAAACTGTTTATTGTTATGCTGAGCATATAAAATATAGAAGAAACAACTTTTCACGAAGGGAAATGTTGTCATAAGTCTTCTTATGATGTGTTTATTGATTCCTCAGGAATAACAGTATTTGGATTAAATAGGTCATTAAAATGACTAATAGAAACATCACTTAGATTAAATGGTCATAATTATTTTTGGGTTCAACTTATGCCTTTTTTAAGGACGTACACAAAGTCCAGCGATAGCTCCTAAAAATCAACCTGCATCTTCAGAATTGATGGGGTTTTTCTCATGCAAATAAACCCTCACTTGTACATTCTAACAAAGTGTTGCAGTCATTTCTTGAAGCATTTAATTGTTTTTTTTCAGGATTCCCTCATTAGTAACTTGCTACGTCTCATACAGACCATGCGGCCTCCACCAAAACCATCCACGAGCAAAGGTACGTGCAGCCAGTGTGGGGAGACACTGTGCAGTTACAGTTGGAGTCTTGGAAGGCAAATCCTATTGCAGCAGGCATCCTGCTGTTGTTATTCTCAGTGTGCTGATCAGAGCATTCAGTCTTTCACATACTCACTAGTAATCAGAATTTTGTTTGAAGGAAGGTAATTCAAATATTCCTTGCATTGAATCTCTGTAAAAGCTGTATCAAGCTTTGCATTCAGATGAAAATTAAACTTAATATAAAGTTATAGAAAAAATCAATAGTGAATTGTTGTAGCAGTTTTAAGTTTTGTGTTTCATTGTGTTTTTTTTTTTTTTTCTTTTTTAATCTCAAAATCAGAGGCAGTTGTCAAACCCAAATCAGAGAAAGAAAAGTTGAGGGAACTATATCCAGCCCTTTGCAGGCCAGACAATCCCAACATCAGGGTAAGATGGTAATTTCAGATTTCTTTTGTGACTGTGTGAAAACTTTTTGGTTTTTTTGCCAGTTAGTTTCAACCTTTTTTCTCTGTCTAATGCATGGATAAATGTGAACTTTGAGAAGTGAAATATGGAAGAGGTAGAAGATTGTTGTTACTGCACATGGTTGCAAAGAATTACTGTTAGCAATTGCCATGGTGATACTGTTTTGCAGAATATGTGGAAGGTGACGTGAAATTTGTAGCCTGACCTTCCTCAGATAATGTTGAAAATAATGATGGGTTGCAAACTAATTAAAAATGTTATATATTCAGATGCTAGGAGGGGCTTGCATTTTGTATTTCTGTAATAATTTGGAACATTGAGATGGAGCTTTGTATTGTATAAAAGCAGAACTGTCTCAATATTGTGCCCAAAGAGGGAGAGAGCTTTATTTTTCTTTATCACATACTGAGTCCAATCTTTTTTAATCTTGCATTCTTTCTAGATACACATATGATGATAATTCTGTAGATTAATTCTTTGTGACAGGCTTTTTATCAGCCCTTTTGTGCAAAGGAGCAACAGTTTTCTGTTCTTGTAGAATATGCTGGATGAAGATGATGTGAAAGTGGCAGCTGATGCCCTGAAAGAGCTGGAAGCTCTGATGCCAAGTGCAGACAGGCAGGGCAAACAGAGGAGCAGCGACCATAGGTAGGTGCCTTGTGCGTGTGGGGGAAGCTCCTGGCTGCTGTCACTGCCTGAGGTGGAAATCCACTGCAAAGGTGAAATAAATGTTTGTTTGTCAGGACAAAGAAGAGGAAGAGGAGCCGGAGCAGGAGCAGGGACAGGAAGCGAAGGCACAGATCTCGCTCCAGGTCTCGTTCCAGGACTTGGGATAGGAACAGGGGAAAATCCAGATACAGGTCAAGGAGCAGGAGTTGGAGTCCCAGTAAGGACCGAAGGGATAGGGAAAAGTACCTTGAAAAGAGCCATGAGAGGTGGAGAGACAAGCACATAGACCGTCCACCAGCTGAGGAGCCTTCCATCGGAGACATCTACAACGGCAAAGTCACCAGCATAATGCAGTTTGGATGCTTTGTGCAGCTGGAAGGACTGAGGTACCCTTTGATGTTTACAATAGATCTGCTGCTATTTCAGCTGAGTTCTCTTTTCTGCTATTACCTTAAAGGTGTGATGAGGATACCAGCAGGTATTCTGGACTTTGAAGGACTGTTTCAGAAAAATGAATTTAACAGCAGAGATATAAAATTCTCATTACAAAAACCAGTTTGTGAACATACACAATCTGTTGACAGAAAAATATTTTAATATAGATTCTGAGTGATCTGAAGGGCTGTGAGAGTAATAATGTGCCCCTCTCATGCCCCTCTCTTTCACTCCCAGGAAACGTTGGGAAGGCTTGGTGCACATCTCAGAGCTGCGAAGAGAAGGACGGGTTGCCAATGTTGCTGATGTTGTGAGCAAAGGACAAAGAGTGAAAGTCAAAGTGTTATCTTTTACTGGATCCAAAACCAGCCTGAGCATGAAGGTACAGAGTTGATAAAGTTCTTAAAATGATGCCTCTTTTTGCTATTTTTTCACTCCTTTTGATGGAAACTAATACTGAGTTACTGTTCTGTATTTAGGTTGTCTATTATTTTTAACTCGTTTTCTCTACGTTCTTAGTTTTGATGTGGTGTTCATAACAATTTCTTGGCATGACATGATACCAAAGAGGCTAGGCAAGGCAAACCTCAGGCTATTGCTGTTTGTCTTCCTTTTTGAGTAGGAGAGAAACTTTTAATTTTAAACTGAATCACTACTATTGCCAAGACAGAGTAGATTGTTCCACACCTGAGGATGTCTTACCTGGCTGTACCACCTGAAAAAACCAAAAAGTCTACAAAACAGCATTTTCTGTGGATGGGCTGTTACTGGCATTAGAAAGCACCAGATTTAATAGATGATGTACTGGTTTGAAAGTAAAACCAGTGAGAGACTCCAAGTCAGAAATATAATTTAATACGAAAAAGAATAAATAAAATACATGCAATAGTACAAAAGAAAAGCCACTGACAGAGTCAGAATACAACCTGACACCTTGCTAGTTAGGGTGGTGGGAGTAGTCCAGATGAAGTGTTCTTGTTGAAGTGGTGATCCTGTAAAAAGGTCTGGTAGCGCTTGTCCTCTGGAATCCAGTGGAAAACGGCTGCCTTGGTGTTCCAAATCTCATTTTTTATCTGGGTAGGAAATGTTTGGCTCCTCCCTCTGGCTGGAGCATCCCTAATGGGATGATGGAATTTTTTCAGTCATGCAATGAGACTCAATGGTCCATTAACAGAAGATACCTCCCTGGAGGAAGGATGAGTCCTGGAAAAGATAAAGAACACTGCCCCAGCTGTTTTTAACAGGTTGTGATAGAACACACACTTTTGGGCACATTTTTACATTGTAACCTAGGACAGATGAGGAGAAGTGTAGAGCTGATTGATTGATCAATCCATCTAATGTAGGATGTTGATCAAGACACTGGGGAAGATTTGAACCCAAACCGTAGAAGGAACCTGGTTGGAGAAACCAATGAAGAAACGTCCATGAGGAACCCAGACAGACCCAGTCACTTGTCCCTGGTGAGCGCCCCCGAGGTGGAGGATGACAGCCTGGAACGGAAACGCCTCACCCGGATTTCAGACCCGGAGAAATGGGAAATAAAACAGGTGTGTGCTGCATTCAGGGCAACAGGATGTCAGGCAGTGGAGTTGCCAGGGAGTTTCATCAACTAGAATACAACTTCTGGATTAATTGATTGTGTAATTTACTCCTTAGCTCTGAAGTGCTGTCTTCTGATTTGGGACTGTTTTGGTGCTATTTGGAGTAACAAAAGGGCTGTTTGGTCAGAGGCTGGATGGGTTGGGGAGAGGTGTGCCAGGATACAGGACCATTCCTTTGTTCCTGTTTTACAGGAATGGGGTTAGAACTGAGTCATAGGCACGAGTGCTGTTCATTCATGGGGACATACTCATGTTGTATTCATTCTGTTCCCAGATGATTGCAGCTAATGTGCTTTCCAAGGAAGAGTTTCCTGACTTTGATGAGGAGACTGGGATTCTTCCTAAAGTTGATGATGAAGAAGGTAGTACTTCCCAGTTGTCTTATTGTTGTAAATTCCTTGTCTTTCTGGATATATTTTGATTGAAAAAGATATTGATGATAAAAGTAACGATAAATCATCTCACAATTGCTTTGTCATCTTGTACATTTGGAACTAGGGTTCCTCTGGCTTTATTATTAGTGGCATATGGATGTGCCCTGTCTGTGCATTTTTATTTGCAGTGTTTTCACTTTTAAAACTCTACCTTATAATCAAGATTACACATGAAGCATTATTTGAATGGGCACTTTTATGTACCTGAAAGACGTTTAACTTTTCTGTCACTTGTGAATTTTAGATGAGGATCTTGAGATTGAGTTAGTCGAAGAGGAGCCACCATTTCTTCGTGGTCACACTAAGCAGAGCATGGATATGAGTCCCATTAAAATAGTAAAGGTAAGAGATTTCCAGGGCTAAAACCAATGTACTTCATTAAATGAAATAAATATTTGGGAATATAACCACCAGTTTCCCAGCTGCACATTACTGAGAGCCCTGAAAAACATAACCACTGAATTGAAGCTCCTTCCAAAGCTGGGTTCTAACTTAACTGGTGGCATGAAGTGGAATAATGAAGCTGAAATGTCATTTTACATAGGTATGTTAGAACAAAATTTATCTGTTCTGCTTTTTCATCTTTTGAAAGTAGAAGCTAGTAAAGAAATACTTTTCATTGGTTGTGCCCATAATCCTTCTGACTGGGCAGTGTAAGGATGCTCCAGATTAGTTATGCATATGAAAGTTCATGAGGCTAGCCTGATGGAAACATCCTGGAAATCGAATAAAATTTAACATTTTAAAAGCATTTTTAGAAGATACTTCTAAAAAGACAGTGACAAGGTGAAGGAGTGGTAGTGCTTGAAGTCTTTTCTTCTTGCTCTCCAGAATCCAGATGGTTCCTTGTCCCAGGCTGCAATGATGCAAAGTGCTTTAGCCAAAGAGAGGCGAGAACTTAAACAAGCCCAGAGAGAAGCAGAGATGGATTCCATCCCCATGGGCCTCAACACACACTGGGTGGATCCTCTCCCTGATGGTATGTCTGAGCACAGGTAAACTGTGCCTTTTGTCTGCTACTTGAGCAATCCAGGAGAAATGTCTTGATACTGTGTTTGTCTGCCACATTTTAAAAGTTAGTCCAAGAAGAAGTGTTTTTCCACTGAAATGGAAAAATAGAAACGTTAAGGTATATCCTGTAATATTGGGGGTATATATGTAGGAACTTAAACATATAAACACACAGAATAAAAGGCCTGGATGATGGAGCAGTTGGAGCAGGATCATCAGGGTCTGTGCTGCTTGAGCCTGCATGTAAAGATGAAATTTTTTCTTTTCTAGTGGATGGAAGACAAATAGCTGCAAACATGCGAGGTATAGGGATGATGCCAAATGATATCCCAGAGTGGAAGAAACATGCATTTGGTGGCAACAAAGCTTCTTATGGTAAGAAGACCCAGCTTTCCATCATTGAACAGAGAGAGAGTCTCCCAATCTTCAGGCTGAAGGAACAGCTGATACAAGTAAGACTCATGAAAAAGCATTCTGGTTTGAGCAAGCAGTAATTTAAATAGTCTTTGGTTTAGTTTTTTGACAGGTGAATAGCCAGCTGATAATTTTAAGTGCAGAACTTTAGTTCATGTTCTGTATTTTAAGGTATTATATATATCTGTGTACTTTAATGAAGTTCTAGGTATTTATTGATGTAAATCAAAGTTGATACTAAGATCATGTGAGCAAGGGATAAGTCAGCTGAGCAGTTAAACAGGTTCCTGATTTGATCAGTAGGAATACTTACATGATTTTTGGTCTCAGTCAATTGAAGCAAAAACAAGAGCTGCTCACTCCAGTCCCCAATATCCCGTGCTGATTTTGTTTGGTTTGTTTTGATTTTTAAAAAATGTTGACAAGTGTATGTTTTCTCACCTTTTCTAGGCTGTGCATGACAACCAGATTCTGATTGTTATTGGAGAGACAGGATCTGGGAAAACAACCCAGATTACCCAGTACCTGGCTGAGGCAGGATACACCTCAAGAGGAAAGATTGGATGTACTCAGCCTCGCAGAGTGGCTGCAATGTCTGTTGCAAAGAGGGTGTCAGAGGAATTTGGTTGCTGCTTGGGACAAGAGGTGAATTTCCATGTTGAAGAGCTTGCTGAAATAAGTATGAGGAAAACCAGGAAAAATGAGTACTGGAGCTGGTTTTCTTGTGTGTCCACGTGTCTGTTCCCTTGTAGACTGTAAAGTGAGTTTGTGGAATAATCAAACTGGGAGTTAATGAGGCTGATAATCGTGTAACTTCTGTTTCTGTGCAACTCTTCCTTCCAGGTTGGCTACACCATTCGGTTTGAGGACTGCACCAGCCCTGAGACTGTCATCAAATACATGACAGATGGGATGTTACTGAGAGAGTGCCTGATAGACCCAGATCTGACCCAGTATGCCATTATCATGCTGGATGAGGCCCATGAGAGGACCATACATACAGATGTGCTCTTTGGGCTCCTGAAGAAGGTAATGTAGCACTGGATTTTTACTGCTTTCAGTGTCCTCTGTGTGGGTAGGAGAGCACAGGCAAAGTGAAGTCACACATACATTTGCTTCAAGAACAAATGCTCTTAAGGGCTTGTGGTTTGAATCTTGGTGAAATGAGCCTCTGTGTGAAGGCAGAGCAAGCAAAATGCAGCAGAAACAATGAGAATTTTCCACCCTGGATGTTCATAATGGTGGATGAACAGGGGAGTGTTCTTGCTTTGCTCATCCTTTTCTGCCAAAAGCTTTCTTGTGATAGTGTTGCTAAAGGAAGGCTTCAAATGGGACCTCAGTGGTCAGTTTTCTGCAATTCTGGGTACTGGGATGAGCTGCCCCTCTACTCAGATGTTAAAACACCTTGTATTACTGGTTGTATTTGTCTGACTTCAGTCAAGTGCCATATTGTAATAGTTCCAAAGGCAGTGAATGACTTGAGAACTTTGTCCTCCTGCAGACAGTGCAGAAACGGCAGGACATGAAGCTGATAGTGACATCAGCAACGCTGGATGCTGTGAAATTCTCTCAGTATTTCTATGAAGCACCAATCTTCACAATTCCTGGCAGAACATACCCAGTAGAAATTCTGTATACAAAAGAGCCAGAGACTGATTATTTGGATGCCAGTCTGATTACAGTAATGCAGATTCATTTAACAGAGCCACCAGGTGAGTAGAGAATGGTCTTGGGTTATTGGTGATTTAAAGACCTCTGAGCAAGGTCTTTCTATAAATCATGAATCAGGTCAGTTATGTGAGCAAAATGCTGTCAGGACTATTTCTTGTTTGCAAATACAGTAACTAAAATGGTGAAAAAATTGGGTGAAAGGCTGGAGTCTGTTGCCTTTGGCTAAGAGTTGCTGCTCAGGGGCTAGCAAAAGTTGGGAATCCTCATAAATGGAAAACGTTAAGAATGAAAATATGATAATGTAGGAGTTGTACTGAACAGAATTGATTCTGTGGATGTTTTAATTTACTTCCTGTGTAGGTGACATTTTGGTCTTTCTAACTGGCCAGGAAGAGATTGATACTGCCTGTGAAATCCTCTATGAGAGGATGAAGTCTCTAGGACCTGATGTTCCAGAGTTAATTATCCTACCAGTATATTCAGCTTTGCCCAGTGAAATGCAGACCAGGATCTTTGACCCAGCCCCACCAGGGAGCAGAAAGGTAATTTCATTTATGTGCCCTTTCATCTTCTGCTGATACATTTTAATAGTGGGGTGTAAGGATACAGGTTTTGGAGAAAAAATGATTTACAGCTTGGAGCATATTTTTGGTTGTATACATATCAAATTATCTAAGGCTTTGAACATATTTTTTAAAACATCTGGTGTAGCAAACCTCTGTGTGGAATGTTCTTAGTGTGTTATTTAATGCTGTCTTTAAAGGGTATTAACTTCAGTTAATCTAAAAATCTAAAATCTAAATGCAGTTCCTGTAGGATGGAGGTAAATTTCCTGCCAAGCAGCTAGTGAATATATAGGGATGCATTCTCAGGAAGATTTTTCTCTAAATACAGACTGTGTCTGAGTGAATCGGTAAAAAATCTCCCTGAAGTCAGTGCAGTCTGCTTACAAGCTCTCTCTTGCTTTTAATTGTGGATTTTATCATACTTTTGCCTTTTTGCCTAGAGTTTAAACAAAGGTAGATCCTTTTAAAACCTGTCCGTCTTTGTAGATAACATCTCCTGTTCCCTGTGAACACATTTCTCATTTCAACATTAAGAGACACTGGTTGCCTTTGTAACAAACTGCTCGTATTGTACCAGTGGATGAAGTTGAGTGGTGGGGTTGTCTTGGCAGCCTGACACAGAGCTGGTGCTGACTCAAACTGTGATTTGCAGGTTGTCATTGCCACCAACATTGCAGAGACATCTTTGACTATTGATGGAATTTATTATGTGGTTGATCCTGGCTTTGTGAAGCAGAAAGTTTATAACTCCAAGACTGGAATTGACCAGCTGGTGGTGACACCGATTTCCCAGGTAGATATTCTGTGTTTGGCTCTCCCCATGGGTGTTGTTTATCTTGCCAATGTGGTATCCAAGCACATGTGAGCAGAATGAGGCAGTGATAAAACCCCATTTTTGATAGCTCCATGAGACTGTGCCTACAGAATACATACTTCCCTGTGTTGTATTAAAAACCTTTCTATCAATACAAGTAAAACTGTGAATAATTATTTTATTTTACTTGTTTTCACCTGTTCACTGAGTTGCCTTGTTTTGTTTAGGCTCAAGCCAAGCAGCGTGCAGGAAGGGCTGGGAGAACAGGCCCAGGAAAATGCTACAGGTTATACACAGAACGTGCATATAGAGATGAGATGCTAACCACCAATGTGCCTGAGATCCAGAGAACAAATCTGGCCAGTACAGTGCTCTCCCTGAAGGTAGGTATTCCACCAGCTTGTAGCAAGCCAGCGTGGTGTTTCAATAAATGAATCTCTGCCTTTCAGTCTCAGGAAATAGTGCTGTAATTGCAGCTCCTTCTGGTGAACAGAGACTTTATTTTGGAACGGAGACTTCAACAAAAGCAATTGTCAGGCACTGGGCTTGCTCCTCTGTTTTTCTCCTGAGGGTTATTCTGTTGGATATCCAGCTAAATTATGACTTTCAGCTGCACAGAACAGTTATTTGCAGGAGGTAGGAGAAACAGAAATGTCAAGAACAGTAATATTTTGTATGTAGGGTACATTTATATTGTTATATATTTATATTGTTATTTATATTGTTAACAGATGAGACACGTTGTTTTAGAATGGGTTTAGAGCTGCAAACTTGGTCATGTCTAAGTGTGTGCCATCCCTCTGGAAGTCTGTGAACTGGATTAAGCCAGTCACAGCTGGGAAAGCTGCTGCCATTCCCCTTTCTGGGAACACACTTAGCATCCTGTGGAGCTGTCAGGCCACACTGCTTTACAGGACAGAAGTCCCAAAAGCAGTATTTAGCTTATGTTTCTCCTCAGCTGAATCATCTGGCTTGAGACGTGTGGAGCAGTACCAAAGGAACAGACCAGAGAGCTGAGCAGTGCAGGAATGCCTTGGGCCAGTGCTCATTATTTCAGGTGCAGGAAGGCAGTTGTGTACTTGTGGCTGCACCTGCAGTCAGGATAAGGACATGAGGCTGGGGTTGCATAAAGTTTTGTTGTGCCTCACTGTTTGCTGTTCTTTCTCTGTCTGGAGTTTGTTGTCTTCCTTCTGAGTGTTTTAACTTGGCTTTTCTCCAATCCCTCCCAGGCTATGGGCATCAACGATTTGCTGTCCTTTGACTTTATGGATGCTCCCCCCATGGAAACTCTCATAACTGCTATGGAGCAGCTCTACACCCTGGGAGCTCTGGATGACGAGGGGCTGCTCACTCGACTTGGGCGCAGGGTAAGCAAAATAAAATTCCTCTTCCCACTGCCTGGGCTGTCAAAACCCAGGGGATGACATGAGAGCACTCATGGCAGGCCTTGCTTAGCATTGTTGGTTTCCTTTTGCTGTCACTGTCTTCTGGTTTTTTGGTAGTTTTTCATTTACCATAGTTACATACCTTCTGCTTTTTTAAGGAGCAACTAGTGTTTCTTCTTATTCATAAGCTTACATTTGTTAGTGTCTGAAAACTTCCTGTAAGTATTGGGATATTCTTGTGATAGTGAATGCAGATAAATAATTTGCTTCATGTCGAGTAAAGTTATTCTGGGTCAAGCACATCTCTTTGCAAACTAAATACATGAGAAAGGGCATTGCTTTCTTTTGCACTGAGAAGAGTCAGGATTTTTCCCTGAATGCCTTGAAACATGTTTCTTGCAGATGGCAGAATTCCCCTTGGAGCCTATGCTGTGTAAGATGTTGATCATGTCTGTGCATCTGGGATGCAGCGAGGAGATGCTGACCATTGTCTCCATGCTGTCTGTGCAGAATGTGTTCTACAGGCCAAAGGTGAGCAGCTGAGCCAAGAGGCAGCAGTGGTACAGTCTGGGTGGGTTTGGTGTGAATGCCTCAAGGGTTAAGAGTGAACATATTTCCCAAAAGAAACACGTAATTTGGTCAGGACATTTGCTTGTGCATTACCTCTCTGATGTTTCTTTTCATTTAAGGGCCTGTAGCTGTGCTGTTGGTAGTTTTTTTACAGATGGGAAGGTAGAAGTGAAAAGTCTTAAATTTGCTCTTGCATTTCCCAACAAACACATACAGCCTAAACCAAGTCAGTCCCAGCTCTGGAGTTCAGATTGCATTTTCAGATACACAGAAAGTATTTCTTCATGGCACCTCTATCCTATCAGTAAGCAGCAGGCTCTGCTGTGGTGGGATCAGGTTTGTCTTGGATCCAATACTTCTTCAGCAGGGTAGTCTGTTAACTCCAGTTTTGATCTATGTAACTGCAGTATTTGATTAATGTTTTATGTGCAGATGCCAGAAGTGGGGGGAGGTGTGTGGACTACCAGGCTCAAACCTACTGCTTCAGCACATTTCTTCATGAATAACTGAAGAAATTTCTAGAGCAGTAAGAAAACCAGTTAGTGCAGTGTGTGCATATGCTTCCTGCAGTATAAATGAGCCTTTTATTTTGATGTGTTCTTTAAAAAATAGGGACTGCAATTGAAAAAACATTCTGTGTTGTCTTTATCTTGTATCATCTGTTCCATGATAAGTTTAAAACATCATGATATGAATGACCAGGAGCTTCTGTCATTCTGTAGTGATTTTCGTTCACAAATTTGGCATTTTCCTACTGTGAGATAGGATTAGGAGGAAGGTAAAACAGGCTTAACTTTAAATGGTACAGAAACTTTATTAATAGAAACTATAAGGAAAAAAAAAAGACAAAATATTGTCCAGGGATTTTCTCTATGATGTAGATACCTGATTGATGTGTTTTATGTGTTAGGATAAACAAGCACTTGCTGATCAAAAGAAGGCCAAGTTCCATCAAACAGAAGGTGACCACCTCACCCTGCTGGCTGTGTACAATTCCTGGAAGAATAATAAGTTTTCAAATCCCTGGTGCTATGAGAATTTTATCCAGGCCCGATCCTTGCGGCGGGCACAGGACATTCGCAAGCAGATGTTGGGGATCATGGACAGGTGAGCACGTCAAGGAGGACAAATACTGACACTGAGCCTTGCTGTTCTTACATTGTAATAGCTAAAGAAAATGTCCTAAACTGATCTTGGCAGCTGTAGCTAAATCTGGAGAGCTCTGATCTTTTTCTCTCCAACTCTTGCTGGCAGGCATAAGCTGGATGTGGTGTCCTGTGGGAAGGCAACAGTCCGTGTGCAGAAGGCCATTTGCAGTGGCTTCTTCCGAAATGCAGCCAAGAAGGATCCCCAGGAAGGGTATAGGACACTCATTGACCAGCAGGTTGTCTATATCCACCCATCCAGTGCTCTCTTCAACAGGCAGCCTGAATGGTAAGGAAGGCAATAGCCTGGAATTTCCTGTTTCTCCTCACACTTCATAAGAGAAAGTCATGGTGTGTGCTGTTTGTGGAGTACAGATCTGAGCAGATGCTGCTGATTCCTTAGCAATGAGCAGACTGAGAAAAGTTTCAAGTCTACTTTTGTCTCTTTCTGCTGCTAAACTTAGTGCCTGTGCAGAGATGAGACTGACTTTTGGAGCCAAGGCCAGGCCTGAAGTTGAGTTGTGTGTTTCTTTTTTGTGGAATTGAGTTTAAAACACAGAGTGTTGAAGAGGGAGAGAGAGCATTGTTTAAAATGGGTGGAAGGAATTCTGTGCTGAAGAGTAGTTGTGTATTAGTAGCTCTACATATTAGTGGCTTCTTTTTTTTTTCTTTTGCCTCTATTTAGAGTTGGGTTTGAAAGCACCAGAGACAGGATTTTCATGTTTGGACTTAGTTGTTTATTAATTCTTACTTATATTAGAATGAGTTCTTCAGCACTTGCAGCTAACAAGCTAAAAGTGAGAAAATGTCTGTGGAGCTAGCTAGTTACAAGGTTTTTTAAAATCTAACTATCCAATTAAAAGCTAACATCTATATTATTTATACTTTTGACCTAATAACCAGACACGATGGTACCTTCTAACCAATTAAAAAGTAGTACCTAAAACTAAGAAAAAGAAGGAACAAAAAGGAAGAAAGACACAATGCCCAAGAACCTCCATCTTGTCCCATAGCTATTACTATATTCTAAAACCCTAAATTCCAAACCATGTGAAATCACACACTTCTATTCAAACTGCACACCAGTGACTCTAACTCCATCACTCAAATTTGGAGCCTTCTCCAAGGCTTCAGGTCAAAAGCAGTGTTATTTTGGGGGTTAGTGTCAGAAAGCACAGAAAGCTCAAAACTCCCAGGCTTCAGGATTCCAACAGTTGTGAAATAGGAGAGGGAATATAGGGATTGCTCTGCTGGATGGTTCTTCTGGAGCTTAAAAGGATCAAGCTTAGCTACTCCAGCTCTTGTCTTGTTGCTTCTTGTTTGAAAAAACGGATTTTCAGAATTGCTGTCCCTTTTCACAGGGTGGTGTATCATGAGCTGGTGCTCACCACCAAGGAGTACATGCGGGAGGTGACGACCATCGACCCTCGCTGGTTGGTGGAGTTTGCCCCAGCTTTCTTCAAGGTCTCTGACCCAACCAAGCTGAGCAAGCAGAAGAAGCAGCAGAGGCTGGAGCCGCTCTACAACCGCTACGAGGAGCCCAACGCCTGGAGGATCTCGCGCGCGTTCCGGCGCCGATGAGCTCGGCTCCCCCCTCGCCCTGCCTGTCCCGTTCCTGTGGGGCTGGGAGCTCGGCTCTGTCCTGGCAGGCACACCCTGCCATGGGGCTCACCTGTGCCATGCACAGCTAGCCAGCCTTGGCACAACAGGAGCTCAGGGGGCACTCCGGATGCACTGCAGCCTCTCAGAAGTGGGTCTTGGAGCACTTCAGTGATTCCCCTTTTAAGAGACAAAATCTAAGACTCAGAAGTCTGGGTACTGAGCTGAAGAACACAAAAAATGGTGATTTAAAACTGTTTGTTCATCAGCCTGACTGGGTTCTGAGTGACCAGACAGAGAAGCTGGAATAGTTTGTCTTTACCTTGCTAAAAGGGATTTATTTCTACTGAACGTTCTTGGTCAGTGACTGTTTTTTTGGGAGCAGCCTGTTCTCTATTTTACCAAGTTTATGCATTTTCCCATTCAGTGTAACTATTTGTCTTTTATTTAAGCCATCTGTGGTGAGATATTTAGTATCTCTGACTTTGGGATAAGGCAGGAAAAATTCTTGAAACCGAGCTAGAACATATTTGGACAATGGCACAGGTCAGACTGCAAGTCTTGCCCTTCATCCCCATCTCCTGGCTGGTGAAAGGTTTATCAACCAGTAGTTATCACATCCCCTCTGCAGCATTTCCAGTTCCATCTGGAAATGTAAGGGTTACAGGTGTTTATACAACGTGCCATGTGCTTTATTTTCACTTAGAATGGTTGGTGACATCACCAACAACTGTTGGGTTTTTGTAGTAGAATGAGCTCTTACAGCTAAAATGTAAAAATTGTATAAAGTTTCTTGTTTTAAAAAGAAGTTGATGGCCCAGTGTGTGTTATGTCATGTCCAAACTATCTGTAAAATACTTTTTTTGTTCCTAACAGATAAAATTTATTTGACTCCCTAGCTGCAGAAACCTTATTTTTTTTTTCCAAAGCTGGGACATTTGCTAAAATTTTTGTTGAAATGAAGTGGATTAGGTTGACTGGTTGTTTTACACTGTGAGTTGGAAGAATGTTTCACACTGAAAAGTAGCTATATTGGAAATACCTATCTGTACAAAGGTGAGCAGGGATGTTGTTAAATGTCCTGAGCTTTCCCTCGTGTTTTATCATCATAAAATTAAGAGGAATTACAAAGGTTGTAAGGTTGGACTCGGAGAGTCAAAGCGAAAAGGACAGGAATGGAAGTGCCTCCAAAACATGCTTAAAGTTAATTTAGGGAAATGGAAGTAGGTACCATAAAGCCAAAGCTCAGCAAGAACTGAAGTGCCACAAACTCTTTCAGGTTCTGTGGTCCCCTGAGGCACCTTCCCTCTCTCCTGCTTTGCTTTCTCACCTGATATTTTCCATAGTTCCCTAGGGGCCAGGAGAATGGTTATTAACATCCTGAGCAGAGCCTGGGATGCACAGTGATGTGTTCATGCAGCTGCTCTTTCTGAAGAAGGCAGGCACAGCAAAGCCTTCAGGAGTTCACAGCTCCACCAGAAACTGTGGGCTCTGTACTGGGCACTGGTGAGGTCATGTCTCAAATCCTGCATCCAGTTTAGCCCCTTCACTACAAAAAATACATCGAGGTGCTGAAGGTGTTCAGAGATGGCCAGTGGAGCTGGGGAAGGTGTTATGATCCAGTTGTTAGAGGGATGCTTCTATACAAATTGAGATGCAAATGAGACCACATGCTGAAGTCAATAGTACAGATTGTATTGAACTGTTGATATGAGATGGAGAAATAAATAGGTGTTGCTGTTAAACTTGTTTCAGAGAGATGACACTTCTAAGGAGCAAAAAAGGCTAAAGGTTTATTTTGTGATCCCTTTTTATAGAGTTGTATTAACTATCTCCTGTCTGTCCTCGTTGGTCAGTCACAAACGGTCACACTGTAATAATTGGTCAGTCCAGAGAAGGTGTCTCCATACAAGAAGGAGTTTTGTAAAAGACTGTTTTCATTCTTCTATGGAGATGGTTGGGATGGTTGAAACAGTTGCAGGTTGCAGTCCTAACATTCTTTTGCAGGGAAACACGTTGTTTTTCACTTTGTCAGGACTCTGTTCTCATGAAGAGCTGGGAGCATTCTCACAGTTTGTGTCAGACCAAGTCAGAGTTCAGTCTGTGAGCCTGTACAGCCTGTTGGCCACCACAATGGGGAAAGGAGAAGTGGGGACTGGGAGAATGAGAGTGACAGAGAAGTTAAGTAGAAAGCTGTTCACCCTGTGGATCCAGTGGTGTCCCATTGGTTCTCTTCTGGTCTTGATGGTGAGTGTTCCACAACACACGGGGTTCAGTGGATTAATGAACATGCAGGTATGGATGGGAATGCCCACACACCTTCCTGCTGGGGGAGCAGCTCTGCACTGTGTTACAGCAGACTGGTTCTGTTGCAACACTTGTTGATCCTGATCAGTCTTCAGAAATGAGTCCAGGGCACTTAGAGGGTCTTTGATGGCCTATGATCCCTTCCAAGATTGTCTCTCACGTGAATGTGACCTGGGCTCGGGCAGTGTGTTTTACACACAGCCAGTTCGTGTAAGGGAGGACTCTGCAGGGTCTGCTGCTTAGCTGGCTTGTGGCCAGGGCATGGGTGTTCACCCCTCCGTACCAGCCCTTTGGAAATCACACTCAAAAACTCTGCTCCCACTTTTCCTGGGGGGAAGAATGTACAAACCTGGCCATAGCAAATGAGTCTGGGCTGTGCACCCTGCTGAACCCACAGCTAATTTTCAGCACATCTGCTGGGTTGGGTTTTCCTGGTGGTTACATTCTTCTCCCCCAGCCTTGTTAACTTCTCCTTAGACCTGAAATAATTGAACAATAATGCCATCTTTATCTTACCTCAAGTTCCTGTCAGAGTCCTATTGTGGGGAGTGGGGTGGGCTTTGGTGCAGTAACTTCTTTAGTAGTTTGCTACAATGGGCAAAGCTGGGGTGATTGTAAAAGGAAGTTGGAGCCATTAACTATTTTAGTCTCTCTCAGAAGGGTCTGGAGCAGAAGTCTGATGAGGGGGGCTCAGGACCTTGTCACTCTCTACAGCTCCCTGACGAGGTTAGAGCCAGCTGGGTGTTGGCCTCTTCTCCCAGGAACCAGTGACAGGCCAAAAGGAAACGGCCTCCAGTCGTGCCAGAGGTTTTGACTGGATATTAGGAAAAATTCTTCATTGAAAGGGTTGTCAGGCATTGGCACAGGCAGCCCAGGGGATTTAAAAGGCAGGCAGATGTGGTGCTTAGGAATAGCTCTTTCTTAGTCTCTGTCTTATGGAGGCTTCTGTGGGAGTGTTTTCTGGAGTTGAGTGGGAGCTGTTTTATCTCCCTCCTGGAAGCTCCTGGTCGGTTTTCAGGAGAACTTCAGGACTCTTGTCTATTACTCCCGTAGCAGCTGCCTCTCAGTCTAGCTGAATTGGAAATGCTGAGTGTATTTATTGATTCCCAACTCTCTGATCTGGTTATTGTGAATCTCTGAGCTTCAGAGGTCACCACCCCTCAATGAGGGAACCTTACCTTGCTGATTCCTGGAACTGCTCTGTGGCTGTTGATCTATTTCCCTGATAAGAAACCTGAATGAAATGTGCAGCTAAAATTGCATTGAAATGTGTGAACTTGCTCCCTGAATTCCTGCTCTGGAAGGAAGGGCAGAGGTGTAGCCCAACGGATACTGGATAAATGTAAAGTCCTTGGAATCCTGCAGATGGAGATAGCAGAGCTGTGAGCTGGAGCCAAGGGGAGGTGCAAAGCAAGCTCAGAAGGTAAAGGAGGACCAATCAGTGAAGTTGCACTGGCCGGAGACAGACCAATTTATTAATTATAGCATTTTTACACTCATAAATAGTAAAGGCAGCTTATACCAAAGGAAGGGTTCCCTGTCACCCTCACTTCTGGGACACCACAGGAACTGTGCTGGCCAGGTAGGTGCAGGGCAAGGCAGGAGGGTCAGAACAGTCAACACCAAGTCTCTGCACAAGGCCTGCAAAGGCAGCAGCAGAGCAGACTGCTCTGAGTCCTGGCCTCTCCTCAGGCAGGGAGTGCTGCCTTTCAAGGCTGTTGCACTCAGCAAAGAGGCTGGGAGGGTTGGCATAAGCCATGCAGGGGTGAGTGATCAGGGGAAATCAGGCTTTCAGTCAATATACAGAATTTCCTCTACAGGCTACCATGCTGACAGGATTGGCAATGCTCTGTATGCTTAGCTGAAACATCAGTCTGAAGCAGTGGAAACAGACCTTTTCTCTATGGGCACACTGTACTGCTCCTTGTCTAACTGGGTATGTGGTAGAGCTGCTAATTAAAAAATTAAACACCTCTTACTCAGGGTGTTGTGCCCATTGTAAACATTTCCTGTTGTGGAAAACCTGCCAGTTTAGTTAAGTTGCATGTGCTGCACTGGACTGCAGAGAGAGCTGCCTTTTCCAAACATCTGAATTCCCCTCAAACATGCAAATATCTGTGGAGTTTAAGTCTGAATTCCTATATGAAGATTTATGTATGGTTTAGATTACTTTGTATAGCATTTTTTAATCACACCTCCACCAGGTTCTTCTCTTGCCTCAGAGGATTCTCTAGCCAAGCCCAGGATGGGCACACTCAAGAGCCTGGCAGCTCTTCAAATATCCTGAGAATGTTTGTTGAAGAACTTTTTCAGTTTGTAAAAGTCACAACATGACACTGAGCTGTATCTCAGGCCTTGCTACTTCTCACAATCCTGTTACCAGAACGAGGCATTGGCTTTGATCTGTGCCCCAGCCCAATGCCATCGAGCTCCTCTGTGGTTCCCCTAACTGCCTTTGGGCCACGGGCTCCAGGACTGCTCCAATCCTGGCCAAGGCTCAGAGTGAGAATGCCAGGAACTCCTGGCGTGAGCACGGAGGTGATAAGGCAGGAGCATGCACGTACAAGACAAGGAGTGTTCCTCAAGGAAGGCACAAGATCTGTGACCATTGTCCTGCAGCCATCCTGGGAATGGCCTTTCAGAGTGAGTTCCTCTGAGCTGAAAGCAGGTCACACTGAGGTTCAGGACAGGGACTGGAGGAATGGAGTCAGCAGCAGCATTGTAGCATTCTCACACATCTGGTGTTTGACACATCTGGAGGCATCAATTACCTGATCTGCTGCTGCAGCTGTAGCTGAGATGTCTGCACGGCTGAGAACGTGCCCCAGCCTGGCACAGTGAGAGTTCTAGCACAAGCACACCTGAGCCCTGTCTGCTGTGAGGTGATGATCCACTTGTGTACCTGAACCCTTGTCCTGACCAAAGCAGGGATCCAGAGTTCAGTGCTGGCCTGAACAAATGCTGAGACCATTGAGCACTAACCAGCCATCTCCTTCTACACACACGCACAGTGTGCTCCCAGCAGTGCTCCCAGCAGTGCTAGTACGTGTAGCCTTTGCTGTAGAGCTGTGGGGGGAAGCTCCCCAGGTCTGGCAGGTAGGAGCCATTGTCCTCCAGGTGAGACAGAGGCACCGTGTCCTCCTCGCTCACCTGCCGCTCCAGCTCCGCCTTCAGCGCCGGCCGCTGCTGCTCGGGGAAGGCCATGGAGAACAAAGCCTCAGGCTCACACACAAACTTGTACACATAACGCTCCCCAGCCACCTGCAGGGATGAGAGGAGGGCAGGTGAGTGCTGCAGGCCCAGGGGCAGCACCAGGCAAGGCTTGCAAAAACATCTGCCTGCCCTGAGCTGTGTCAGAGTTGTGCATTTCTCCTTGTGCTGCCCTCTTCCTTCCTGCTGCTCTGACCTCCCCTGGAACAGCTCCTGGGAGCTGGGATGCTGCCAGCTGACATTCTCTGTCAGGGTAACAGCAGCAGTCCCTGAACAGTCTGTACTGAGACTGTCACACTCCCTATTATCTCTCCAGGGCCCTGGGTGTGCCTCAGACCACACAGCACCCAGTTCCAGGCAGCCTTTCTCTCGCCAGAGGAAGAACTGATTATATCTCCTTGAAGCTGCATAAATTCCACCTCCCCTCACTGCAGAAATGCACAGAAAAAGAAACTGTAATTCCCCCTTTGTTTTATTTCTCATGCATTGCCTGCATTGATTGCCTTCACAGCTTCTCCATTTAACTACAGCAAAGAGAAATTTGGGGGAGAGCAAGCCTGGGATGCCTGACTCAAGGACATTCTGGCTGTAGGACTTCTTGTCTCAACCAAGAGAGGCATCACTTAAAGCACGAAGTTCTGTCCTGCTTTGCAAACTGACCTTCTGCATGATGCCTTTCTCGTAATAGTAGCGCAGAGATCGGCTCAGCTTGTCATAGTTCATGGCTGGACGGTTCTTCTGGATCCCCCACAGCCTGGCCACCTGCAAAGAAAGCACCAAACTGTGGCAATGTCTGTGAACCCAACCCGAGAGAAAAGAATATTATCCAGTTGGTTCTCTTTTCATGGATGGTATGCCATGACACATACAAATATTTCAATAATAGGCTCATCAAAATTTAGCAGCTTTTAAAAATGAGTAGAACTCAAGCACTCTGTATCACAGAGAAATTCTGGCCACTACAGAGCTCAGTGGCTGTCACCCCTGCTCCTCACTCTCCAGTACTCTGGAAGTGTGAGGATCCTACAGGGCTGCTTTATTCTGTGTAATCTTCAGGAGTCCCATGTTTATCAGGAGACCAAGCATGAAGGAACATCCTGGAAGAGACCTGTGCCTTCATTCTCCTTTCAGCTTTATCCATGAGACTCACAAGTCTGTTGTAAGCGATGTCAGCCTGCCAAGACTTTCATCTGCACTGAAAGTGCCCATAAATTTTGACGTGTAACAAGAACAGTGCTAAATGCAGCTCTAATTGGAACAAGATATGAACAGATATTATGGACACTTCTCCCAGATACTTTCAGGTATCACTGTTTGTTTTGGCAGCATTAGAAATTACACTTCAGTGAAAATAATTTTGAAACGAAGATAGACTAGGACATATCTGCTTCCAGATTCTTATGAAAACTTCTGCAATCAGTAGGGTTCAAAACTCCAAAGCTCAATGTCAGCCTCAAGTATGGAGCATGACAAGACAGCACAGGTCACTGCAAGCTTGAGAATGAAGTATCCAGGGAAATGAAGGCAGTGGATAATTTGACTCACTGCATAGCTGAGTTTTTAAACTTGCATACAAGCAGCCTTTCTTAAACCTGATATTTGTATTAGGTGATTTGAACTCTTCTAAAAACCTTGACTTGCTGCAGGGTCTAGTGAGTACCACTGGCAGGGCAGAGGAAAAGCCACTTGAGAATCTGCAGCCCCAGAAACAGGGGGTGACTCCCCTGTAGAGAACCTCAATGGTTTCACCTCCTCTGGCTCGATGAGCTTGAACTCCATTCCTCTACCAGTCCAGGCAATGAAGTGGGAATTGCTGGGATTGTCCAACAGAGCCACAAGGAACTGCCAGAGCTGGAGTGATCCCCGTCTCTGGTAGGGGGGTCCTTCCCTGTACCCTCCTCCTTCCTGCTTGATGTCTCCTGCTGAGCACAACAAACAAGACATTTCTAAGGAGAACAGTGCAAAAATCACTGGGAAAAAAAAGGAGAAAAAAAGCAGCACATGTACAATTTCACAGATGTTTACCTGGAGTATTTCAGTTCACATAAAACAGTGGACAAGCCACTCTTCCAAGAGCAGCTCTGATATAAATCCCAATTAAGCTACTTATGTTAGAAGGCCTGGCTGTTGCTAAGAAAGCTCCAAAAATGGGATACCAAAAAGCTGGGTATGAACACACCTGCAAGAACACAGTGTAATGAACTATGTAGGCACAAGTCAAGTGGCTGGCTAAGATAATGAATAACCCTCTCTCACAACAAAACTCCAAGCCATTCTTTCTCCAACCTTCAAATTTTTCTGGAACAACACAGATATCATCTGTAAAGGATCTCATCTGCTTGTCATAGCTGCAGCCTGAAAGAGAAAGCAACATCAGCAGTCACAGACAGCCAGGGCAGGACCAGAGGGTGATTCTGTGCAGGGAAAAGATGAAAATCCCTGCCATTTCTTACCTAATGTGTCTTCTGTATTTGAATGGCTTGGGTAACTCTCAGCATTTAAGTACATGGAAGGACAGTCAGGAACATCTACAGAACAATTAACAAACTCATTTATTTAAAAAACACAGGTGGCAGAATTATCTTGCTCTGCAAGCTGAGTGCAGCTGTCTAACCAAGGCCCTCTGAAAGGGTTACAGTGTCAGAATGGTAATTACAACTTCATTTGAATTATCCTTCCAATCATTAATTAGATTACTAAGTTTTTGTGGTACTATCACACATCCTCCTTCAATGTAGCCAGGATAGCCAGCCAATCACCTCTACATCACTTTTATATAAAATCATGGACAATAGGCTAAATTTGAACCTCTTTCTCCTCTTAGATGAAGATAATGACACACTTTTCTGTTGCTTTCCCAGGTAAGAAGGCATTACATTTTCCCCAGGGTATTATCATGATGTAAATAGAGAGCAGAAGCACCTGAATGTTTCTGCAGACAGAGTCTCACAAATGTCATTTCAGATGTCTCCAGCCTCCCTGCCTTTTTCACATCATGATGGGACATTCTCACAGTTTAGCAAATATAAAACAGCCTTTATTAAAAACAAGCAGGAAGTCTTTTCCTGATTCTGTGTGCAGGGTACAGCACTGTGTGTGCACTGCAGTTTGTGTCTTCTGTATCTTGTGTTTTCTGACTCAAATTTATTTCTGAACAGAAGCTGTAACTGGGAGCTGTAACTGGGAGGGTTTATCTTACACTTCCCTCTCCCACCTTGCCTGGTCATTGCTTCCAGCAGATATTTTGCTGATGCTAAGGGAAGAGAACTCTGAGCTGACAGACTGGGTGTTATTACAATCATAAACTACTCTCACAAAAAGCACATTCCCATCTTCTGGGTTTGCACATTTTCTGAACAGAAGGACCCAGTGAAATTGTAATACCAATATCACCACAGTGATACTCTCAAAGGAACTTTTTATTTTTGTGTTTATTTCTGCTAAAGGAAATAATTAAAGATGTCCATTAAAATACCAGGAAACCAGAAGTATCATTCCCTCGGGAAGAGGGTATTATGATCTCAGGGTAGTGAGTCTTTGGACAGATCTGCCAGAAAAATAAGGTTTATCTCTTGTGGAAAAATAAGAGGATCACCTGGTGGATCTGCCATCTAGAGCTATTTTTGGCATTATAGATTTTTTTCCTCATCATCCCCTGCAATCTCTGCTCTCTGAGCCTTGTTTCCATGGGAAGCAGCAGCTGGAAGCTGATCCTCCAAGGGCCCCCAGGCAGGACCCTGGCACTGAGCTGAGCCCACCCAGAGCCCCTTTTTTCCTGCCAGGGCTCAGGGGGGCCTCCTGCTGCAAGGGTCCACGACAGTTTTTCTGAACAAGCTCCAACATATTTGATTCCTCCTTTTCTGCTGCCTTTTCCAGCCTGTTTGCAGTATGATTTCTTCAAAGCTGACCTCCCTTATTTTCTGCAACCTTGCAGCTCAGAAATACTCCCGAAGACAAAAAACTCCCTGTGAAACTGGAAACAGCCTTTTCTTCATTTCTGATGGTGTGAGTGGGCTAATCATGAATTTTGAGTCTCCTCATTGGATAGTTACCCCCTGGGGGAGGGAAAATCCCCATGCTTTAATCTAATTTGAATGGATTTAACATCACCTTCTACCTCCTACCTTGCTAAAGCTTTCAACTCTCCACCAGAAAGTCTTTCTCAGAGCAAGGTGAGTGTCCCAGCCTCATCTCGGATGCAGTGAACAGACAGAGCCGTTTCAGTTCCCTGCTACAGAGCCAGGGAACCTTCCCAGACACCACATGCTCCTGACAGTGCTGCTTCAAAGCCCAGAGAGCAGCAGTGAGGATGCTCCCCCAGGATCTGCTCTCCCCCTGGTGCCTGGCTCATGCAGGCAGGACGAGCCAGCTGTGCCTACCTGAGTCATAGAGGAAATCCAGCTGTTCCTGCTTCACCACCACAGCTGGGAACTGCTGCCTGCTGCCTGCCTGGCTTGCTTGCTCGTATTGTGGGTCTTGGTGCTCCTGTTTGAAGCCCTGCTGAGGGTACTGGAGGCAGGGCTTGGGCAGCTGGCACTGGAAGGCAGTGGGATCTTCCTGGGCCATGCCCTGGGAGGGTGGGAAGGAGTGGCACATCTCCAGAGGTGGCTGATATGCAGAGCTGAGGAGGGAGAGGATGTGAGACAGCTGCTGTCTTGGCCCTCTGGTTGCAGCCCTGCAGGAACCCCCAACAGGGCTGCTTGAGGGACAGAAACTTCCTCAGCCCTTTCCTGGAGCTGTTGGAGCTCACTCATGGCTGGGACAAGGAAGGATGATCCCAGAGAAGGATGTTCCCAAGGGCAGCAGCTACACAGCCCATCTCTCACAGAACCTGGCAGGGTTAAGGTTATGGACTTCAAACCCCAGGCAGCACTGGGGGGTCCCACAGGAGGGATCCTGTGCTATGAACAGAGCATTTCCACCTGGCTGCTGCAGCCCTTCCTCCTTTAAGCACCAAGGAGGGCAATCCTTGCCAGGGGCTGCCTCCTCCTGGCACTGTCTCCTCACCTGTTGTCACTGAGGAATCCACAGCTGGATGTGGAGCCAGGGGGCCCTGCAGGGTTCAGGAAGCTGCTGTCCCCTCTAGGGAACTGCTGGAGTGGGGGCTGAATCAGGACTCCTGGGCTGGGAGACTGTCTGGGCTGGTCATAGGCACTGGAAGAGCCAAACAGATATTGCAGCATTTCAGTTCTCCAAGAAGGACTCGTGGCAGCATCTGGAACATGAAATGTGCTGTCCCCCTGTGCAGCCACCTGGGCCAGGAACCCCCAGCATGAACTCCCTGCTGTTCCATTGTTCACTGACAGCAACAACCCTGCAGGCAGAAAACTGGGGAAGGTGTCTGTGCTGGAGAAGCCACACCACAGCTCAGGCAAGGGCCTGGCACTGCAGGCAGTGGGGTCAGGTGTGGGACAGATTTTGGAAAGCAGTGGGGAGGGGAATATGGCAGATGTCAAGATTGTCCAGTATGAGGATGGCTGAGGGACAAGGAGAATAAAAAGGGAGAATAAAAAGGAGGCAAACCCCAGGCTCAGTGCCCAGTGGGCAGTCCAGAACTGCTGCCCACTGCTGAGCTGTACCCAGCAGACACTGCTGTCACACACTGCATCACCAGATACTGCAGAGCACTGGATTCCAGCTCAGCTCCTGCCCCCTGATATTGCAGAGCACTGGATTCCAGCTCAGCTCCTGTCCCCAGATATTGCAGAGCACTGGATTCCAGCACAGCTCCTGTCCCCAGTTATTGCAGAGCACTGGATTCCAGCTCAGCTCCTGCCCCCTCTCTGTGGGAGCCACCTTACCTGGCATAAAGGCACTGCTCACTGTTGTGCTGGAATGGCTGCTCATGGCTGCAGGACAGCGTGGGCTCTGAGGGGCTTTGGGGCTCCTTTTTTATCTTAGCAGGAGGACTGTGAAAAGCTACTGCAGGAGAGAAAGGAAAGATCAAATTGACATTTTTCTTCTTTATGGGGAGCCATGATTATCAGGCATTACAAAAGGAGGTGTCCCTTTGCTGAATCTCTGCTGTGCTCACAGTCCAGCAGCCCTGAATGTGGGACTGGGGGATCTCAAAACCTCTCTGCTCATCCAAAACACCAGTGACAGCCCAGGGAAAAAAGTGAAAAAGTTTCCTTCCATTTTCAGTGCACTGGTCATGGCAAGAGCCCGATGCAGACAAGGAGGGATATTTCTGGGCTTGTCAGAATTTCAGGAATGACAAATGTGAGTGTTTACTTCTTATGCTTTATTCAATCCAGCAAGGGACAAAACTTTCTTCCTAGTTCCTCAGAAAGGCTTGTCCTGGCTGAAGGATGGGCTGAGCCTCTTCTACCTTTGCCTGTGGGCTCTGCTGTTGATTTTAGGAGGTCACTGGCATTTAGGAAGGAAAGTAACCCCAGAAAGCTCCATAAGTCTGGGCTACTTCTTCAAACTAGGGAAGGATCTGCCCTCCAAATTCAAGCTTTAATCTTTTAGTAAGGCCATCACCTCCTTCATCACCAGCTTATTCCCACCTCTAAGTCCCATGACACTGCTCTGGGTCTGTGACTGCTTTTAAGGATGGGAAGGAACATCCTAATCCATTAACACCTCATATTTTTGATGAGTTTAGTTCAGGAGTGACCTGAACCTGAGCCATTTTCAAGCTGGTTCTCCCTCACATGAAGAGTGCCTTCAGAAGCAAGCAGCTGGCTAAAGGGCCAGAAAAAAGCTTTGCTGCCTCTCAGGGCACAGGACACTTCTATTGCAAACATCCTTCCCCAAAATTTATTCTCACACCAAGAGGGGGATATCTGCTCTTTCCCCCCAAACCCCAATTCCTTTTGGCTGTCTTTGGTTTCATCCTACACCAGAAAAGCCCATCTTGGCAGCACTCAGAGCTTGACAGGATCAATATACATAAATAACCCGTAAGATCCCAGAGCCTTCTGTTGTTCCTGGCTCCTGTGGCTGCTGTCAGAGCAGGGGAACCCATCCACAAACAGCTCTGGGCTCTGCCCAGACTGGGAGGGGAGAACACCCTGACCCAGTGGTGTGCACACCTGGGAGGATTCAGCATTCCAAGCACGACAAACAGAGCTGCAAACAGCCCAGGCCCAAGGAAGGGCCAGAAGAGCAAAGATTCTTTGTGTGTGTGTGCACTCTGCAGCAGCCCTTCTCAACGTGTGGATGTGTACAGCCCATCTAAAAATACTGATGGGTCAGCTGGGTCTCAGAGGGGAGGAAAAAATTGCTCTCTCCAGTAGATTGAACTCCATGGAATTTTCAAGAAGCTGGATGTGTTAGGAGCAGCCAATTCTTTCCAGCCCCTAATAGCTGGAAGATGCTCTCACATTACACCTGACTCATTGATTCACTCAGAGTGAAACGTGGGACCATCCCTCTCCTCAGCTGTAGGTCAGAACCAGAAAGAAATAAGATATATGGCTCAGAGAGCAAGCTGTGCTGCAGGGCCACGTCTGGGGAAAGGAGGGAAACAGAACAACCAGGAAAAGTGTTTCAATTCAGTTTATGTGGGGGAAAAAGGCACCAGAATTTGGATTTGCCCTTCCCCCAAGAGACATGAGCACCCCCATGCTACTTACAGTTTTCTGAATGGAAGTCAGGCACAAACTGCTCATCATTGTCTGGAACCTGAGCTGTCAGGAGAGAGAGACAGGGAGGGAGGAGTTAGTTTTGGCACTTTGTACAGTGTCCTTAACACTAAGGCAGAAATAAATCCATGCAGCAAAGATCTGAGCTTTCTGCTGAGATTATTTTAGTGACTAAGGATAGTTCCCCTCTGGGATTAATGAATACAGGAGAGTTTTGGGAGAAACCTTGGGGAGAATCTCACCCATGTTTTATAACTTCTAACAATTATTTTACACCCCTTTTACTGCAGGGAAGGGAGAGCAGCTTGCAGCAGATTGTTATTTCATAAAGTCACTGTTGCTGAAGGAAATGCTGCTGCTGCTAACAGACAAATTTTTGTTATTGCAGAGTGGACAACAGATTGCACTTTCAGCTCTAGAACAGAGGTGATGTGGTCAAAATTAAGGGACATAAAGGATGGAAACCCACTAATCTCAATCAGTTGAAACTAAGCTAGACTCAACATGCCAAAAATAAACCTCAGGGAGGAACACTGTGCTAACAGGGGGTGAATAAGAATGGAACTGGCCAAACCCTTCACTCTGCAATCCCTGCCCCTTCAAGGAACCTGAATGACAACAAACTGGAAATGTCAACAACAAAAGATGGAGAACTGAGGAAAAAAACATCTAGAAAATACATTCTAAGAATTATCTTCAAAAAGCAACATGGAAATAGAAGAAATTATGGGGCTCATACTGCATGAGCAGAGTTTGGACTTCACAGCCCCAGCCTTGAGACTCTCCACAGCATCACTGGTGATGTCACAAGAGAATTAATTACTGAAAGCAACAGATGAAGTAGTTAAAATGAAATGAAGGGCAAGGCTGGAATGAAAGCATCTACCTTCAGTGCTGGCCAGTGGTGTTTGCACACAGCTACAGGTTAGAAGTCTAAAGAGAATGTTTGCCAGAAGACAATTTCAATTTTTATATTCACTAGCTACTTCATAAATTTGCAAACCAGGTATTTTCTTGCTCTCCCCAAACCAACACTGGTACTTGGAAGAAGTGGGATAATGAATCAGACATCTAAACCCAGCTCTGCTCACTGCCACTGCAGGCAGCAACACTGACCCCACCACTGACCCCACAGCTTCCAAGAGGAACTTCCAAGTTCCACTGGAACTTAAATTTTCTGGAGATGTGAATCTGCTCCTTGCATCCATCACAGGACCTGCCTGTGCCACTTTTCTCCAAGGAAATTTGTTTTGTTTGTTTCTCTGAATGCTGATGCACTCGTGTAAATTATTTGGCTTGAATTTATTCCATACAGTTACCAACTGCCAGGTTCTCACCCAAGTGTACCAGATCCTGCTCAAAACACTGCAGAGGAAAACTGGATTTTTAGTAACCAGGCCTAGGATTTTTCAGCATGTGTTTCTTTTAAGAGCCACGTATATGCAAAATAATTATTTGACTCTCAAAATGAGAAATCAAGTGTTAATCAAGATTGCTAAAAATATTGAAAGAAGATAACAAAGAGAGATAACTATGACTGAAATCACACAAAGAGTGACACATAACCACATCCTTACAGATGTATATGTGGTTTAAATTCATTAACATTTTGGGCTGATGCCTTATTCCTAGTTTGTTTCTCTTTTACTTAAAAAGTAACACCAAAAACTGTAAATAAATAACTAACTTCTTTTTTAACTGTGATAAAGGAAAATAATAAATAACATATTTAATGTTTTTACTTTTTCTTCTGTATTGTTTAGGAAGGTGCACTCCAGTGTTCTGATGCCTTCACAAACAAATGTTGATATGGAGATGCACAGGACATTAGTAAAAAGTATTTTCACCATTCAGGAAAATATTTTGACATACTGGTGGATAGGAAAAACCAATAGTTTGCTTCAGAGTCATTTTTCTTGTTACAAGACTGGAAATGGGAGCAACAATGGAGAAACCTGTTCCTCGATATGCAGGCTAAAATAAACTAGAATATTAAAACTCATCTTGAATTTCTCAGGGCTTTCACTTGGACTCTGATTAGATGTTGTGAGCTATGAAAAAATCATCATAATAAAAAATCTCTGCCTATATTCCAAAAGCACGCAGTAAGGTTTGCATTATCATTTACTAATCCTGGCTGGAAGCAGAGCATCTCCTTTTCATGAGGCCAAATGTGACCACAGGAGATTTCCAAACTCATCCTGCAAACACTCTGCTATGGCAAATATATTGTAAGGGATTTCATGGAAATTCTTCAGAATGGTGAGCTAAAAATATTATCAGACATGAGAAAAATCTCAAATTGAAAGTCTACCAAAAATCAGCTCTGAGGCAAACTTATTGGCAGCTCAAGTTCTTCTAAGATTTAAAAGAAATCCAATCTTGTGCACATTCAGCAGGTCCATTCCATGACCAGCAAATAACTCCTATTTTCCTGCTCTGATAAATGTTACATGAATGATTCAATATTGAAACACCTCCAGGTAATTCCTGCTGCATCCTTACAATCCTCACTCCTGAAACACCGATCAACATCACCTCAGTTCAGTTCGAAATGAACATAAAACTTTTGATTTTTTTCCTTACTAATCTTACTTAGTTGGCAAATACCTTTTTGAAGGCTTAAAATAAGAATTGTTTGACAAAATTGTTCCTCACTGGTGGTAATATTAGAGGAAATAACCCTGCTCAAAATGCCATGCATATTTTTACATCATTATTGGTAAATATTTTTAAGTTCTTAGATCACAATAAGTGCTTCTGTATTTACCATGGGAATGTATTTTGTATTTTCTAGAAAATGGATTATCTGTAGTGCTGGAATTAGAGTAAAATCACCACGTTTAGAACTAGTTTCACTTGGAATTAATGTGACTCCCTGCCATTCGAAGTTTTCCTTGAAGTTCAAAGTCAAAACAATTAAGACACCATCTGAAAAGTTTGTAAATTCCAGGAAGGTCCCCACGAAGTATTATATTAAAAGGGGGGAAAAAAAAGAAACGGAAAAAAAAAATAAAGAAAGAATAGAAGCATTTTGTTCCCCAACTTAAAAGACTGCTTTATTGCTTAAGAAAATATCGGCGTTCTGGCAACCAACAAAGATAAGCGACAAATTAGCATAAAATCGAACCAGTTACAAATAGCCCGAGGGGAAAATTGTACCCAGGAAAGCGGGCGAGCAGCCAAGTCCCATTCACAAGCAAATGCCCAGCACAATGGTGTCATTCAGCGTCTTAATTTACACAAGCCAGAGGCTCGCAAGTTTGGAAAAAAAACAAACCCCACTTTTGTCGGGAGCCAGGCAAACCCAGCAAAGGAGCGGGACAAACCTCCAAAAGAACTCAAAGACGAGCAAAAGCAGGCAGGGCTGGGGGAAGGAGCGTACCTTCAGCGAGCCAGGTCTGCTGCAGCTGCCTCAGGTGTCGGAAGAGCTCTGCGGGGACAGGGCCGGGCGCTGAGCGGGGAGGATCCGGAGCCGGAGCCGGAGCCTGCCCGGCCGCCCCCGCCACCCCCAACCCAGCCCCGCTCACCTTCCGAGTCCTGCGCCGGCTCCCCGGGAGTGCTCGCAGCGCCCAGCGCGGCTCCGCCAGCGGGCCCGGCCCGGCCCGGGGGCTGCTGCGGGAGGAGCGGGTCAGAGCCGAGAGCCCGAACCGAACCGAGCCGAACCGAGCCGAGCCCAGCCGGCCCCGAGCCCCGCCCGGAGCCGCCACTCACCTGCGGGAAAGCGAACGGCACCTGCTGGTCCAGGTACGCCGTCATCCTGCTCGGGGGTAGCCGCGCTCCTCGGGCATCTGGGGGTACCGGGCGGTACCGGGGGGTACCGGAGGGTACCGGGCCGGCCGAGCTCCGCAGCAGCGGCGGGACCGCGATCGCCGCCGCTGTCCGGGAGAGGCGGCGGCCGCGTCGCAGCTGCCGAAACTTGGAACGAGAGGTGGGACCGAGCCCGCCAGCCCCCGGCCGGGACGAACCTTCGGGACAGAAACCCCGCTCGGGTCGGGTCCGCTCCGGTCCCGTCTCTCAGCGCCGGCGGCCCCGGCCCACGCGGAGCCCGCGGCGGAGCCGCCCCGTGCGCGCTCCGAGGCCGCCGTGGGCCCGGGGCCGGTCGCCCATTGGCCCCTCGCTCACGGGCCCGGCTCGCCCACTCCTTTGTTTCACGGAATTTGTGAATGAAGCTCCGTGCCGGGGCACGCCCGCCAATCAGCGCTCGCCTCGGCCGTCACCCATTGAGGAGTGGGCGTGGTTCTGCCCCTGCGGACCAATCACATCGCAGAGCTGCGCTGTTCATTCACGGCGAGCTCCCATTCATAAAAAAGGAAATGAAATCCTGCCGGAGTTCATTCATGAGCGGGGCTGCGGCCGGGCCCCGCCGTGTCCGTGTGTCCGTGTGTCCGTGTGTCCGTGTGTCCGTGTGTCCGTGTGTCCGTGTGTCCATCCCGCGTGCACCGACACAGCCCTGCCCCTCCCCGCACATCGCACTCCTCTCAAACACTCTTTGAGATAATTTCAAACACTCTGGGGTCATTTTCAAACACTTCACGTACGTTCAGTTCCCTTCTGAGCAAGTTTCAACGAGAGCTGAAGAAATCTCACACATACAAGCGGAGCGAAAATAACTAAAATATAACTTAATATAACTAAATATAACTAAATAACTAAATATAACTAAAATAACCTGCCCATCATAATCAGTTTTACTCATGTAAATGTTAAGGGACGAGAACATTAAAAAAAAAATAAAAAAAATCCAGTCTTGGGATCTGCACACTAAAAAAAGTACATTTGCTTTTCCAGCTGCCGGATGCTGTCTCTTGGGCCATGTGCATGCAACCAGTTTTTTTTTTTTGTAAATTTCTCCTTTAAAATTCCAAGATGCTATTTAATATTTATTAATCCTCTTTATCCTCCAAAAAATATTAGTGACAGGCAGGACCTGGTGATAAGATAATTATTCATGGAATATTATCTCCTGCAAGAGAAAAAGAAAAGGGGAAAGCTATCTGCAAGGCTAAATGGAACTTTATAATTTTCATGTTTTCTCTCTATCTCACTGCTCCCAGTTTGCTGTACTGCTCTGCTTGCTGTGAAAGGGGTGTTTGTGAAGTTTAAGTATTTATTCAATGTGTATTTTGATCTTTCTGCTAATAGGCTACAACTGCCCGCTGTGTCAGGGAGCCTGTTTGACACAGTTCTGACACTGTGGGAGCAGAGCCACACGTGAGAACTGCCACGAGGTTTCCATCTAACACCTGCAAACTTTGTGGATGTGGTCAAACACAGCCCTGGAATTCCAACTTACTCTGCTTTGAGAAGATCACTGAAGCATGTGAGTTAATCTGAATTTTCAGTTTTACCAATTTTGTTTCTGCTCCATATGATTTGTAGCAGTCTATTTGGGTTTTTAGTCTTAATCCAGTTTTGTCTGACAACTGTGAGAGAATATTTCTCCTGGTTAGATTGTTGTTATAAAATTTATACTTTAAATGTCTTACGAAGTCCAAGTGTCAGCACACACTCATGTTTTACACTTTTGCCTGTATCACAGCAGAAGGGGTAGTCTGACACTCAGTTATTAGTGCTCCATTTCCAAGTTAAGGGATAATAGAATAGAAGAGATCTGCTTTCAATCACTGCTGTGCTCTGAACTCCAAACAGGATGGGATTTTCTGCTGTAAGATTTGTTTACTCTGTGATGTTCCAATTTCTCAGCCAGCAGCAGGAACAGGAATTCTGATGTCTGAGGAGCCTTAGGGCTCCTTGGAGCTGTGTTTTCACTCCTCTGCCACTGTGCAGAGGCTCTCTAGAACACAAATCTGAGAAGGAGCAGCTGAGGGGGTTGGGTGGGCTCATCCTGGAGAAAATGAAGGTCCTGGGAACCTTCTCACTCTCTACAGGTGCCTGAAGGGAGCTGTAGTGAGGGCTGGGCTCATCTCTTCTCCTAAGTACAAGTGATGGGACAAAGAGGAAACGGCCTCAAGCTGTGCAGGGGAGGTTTCCATTGGACATTAGGAAAAAATTCTTCATTGAAAGGGTTGTCAGGAATTGGAACAGGCTGCCCAGGACAGTGGTGGAGTCTCTGCCTGGAGTGGGGGTAAAACAACTCAAACTTCACCCCATTTGCAAACGTGTCAGTGAGGAATGGAGAAGGGAAGGACTCACGGTGCTTTTGGTGCTGGGTAATGCTGGAACCTGCCTGGCTGTTCAAGCTCAAAGTTAAACATCCTGACACTGAGATGAAAATGTGGTAGAGCTGGTGAAATACCTGCTGAAGGAACCACCAGGTGACATTACAGATATTTATTCACCTGCTGAGCTGACAGATGGCCCAGGCACTGTAAAAGCCCAGTCCCACTTTTTGCCAGCAGCTCTTCTACCACCCTAGAATGTGTGTGGAAATTCCTCCCTGGAGTGGGGATGGCTCCCAAGCTCACTCCTCAGAGGCTGAGTGAGAGTTATTGGTCTGGGTGAGTAACTTCAACCTCTACTTCATAATTGTTTTGGCTAGCTTTAATGTAATATTCAATATTGTTTCAAAAGTAGTGCACTACCCTGTACCAGTAGTTATAGCTATCCATACTATGTAGTAAAAAATTTGGATTAAGATCTTTTAGTCTAATAATTCTAATAATAAATCATTTATTTTTATATTAATATACTTGATTTGCCATCCTTAATCTTGTGGGACAAAGCTGTATAAAGTTTTAATTACACTTACATAGTCCTTCAGACAGAAACTGCTGACTAAGTCTTGGATTACTTGATCCAGCAGCACCCAGAGTCCTCTCTGAGGAGAACTTTAAAAAGCCAGGTGATCCTTTCTGCACCTCGCTGCTGTTTGTACTAGCCAGGCAGTAATGCCATTTTTTAAATTTGATTTTTTTTCTCTCTGACAGAGATGTCCTGTCAATACTATCAATGACTTTTTCTCTTTCTGTGTCACATTTGTTTTCTAAGGCTGGCTAATCAAATGTGAGCAATTAATGTTCAGGGTGATTAATTGCCTTCTAATTTTTTTTTTCTTGAGGTATGGAGTGTGTGAAGAGTTCAGATGTGATACATAAACCAGGGAGATGATTCTTGCTTATAAAGAGTATTAGCAAAAGATTTATTCCATCATTGTAACACACACTGCCTGAGGTGTTTCTATCCTGTTTATTTTTCTTAGTCACCAACTGAATTTTGTGTCTAATCCCCCTCCCTCTCCTGTGTCCATCCCTAACATTTAGCTGCTTTCATTTACTGTACTGGTTTCAGAAAACCCAACCCTAATTTTCAGATGCATCCCCTGCATCCACAGCAGCTGTGGTTGGTGTAATGCAAAGCTCTCAGACAGAGATGCTGACACAGACAGGATTAAATTACAAATGTCTTAGTGACACACTGAAAGTTGAAAAAAAACCCTCTATGTACTGTAGAATGGAGCATGAAGAGAGCTGCAGCTTTATAAAAATAATAATAAACAGCTGGATGAAGAGCTCAGGTTTCTTAAGATCAGGCATGAAATCAGCCCAGCTGCTCTTGAACACCCTGCTGCTCCTTGAACAGGAATATCAGGAGCGAGGTGCTGAGTCCAGAGCTGCCTGTGTTTACCAGGCATCTTTGCCCTGGGAGCTGATGCAGTGCCTGAGGAAACACAGAAATCCTGACACTGTCAACACCTGCCAAGCACTGTGAGCAGCTCCAGCTCAGCCCAGCTGCTGAGCTCAGCCCAGCTGAGCAAAGGAGGGGCTGGAGCTGTGTGTGCAGATCCTCTCACTCAGGGAAATCACCTTGTCTGTGCTCCTGCTGCTTTCCAGTAGCACACAGCACAGTGCCCTGCACTTTGACATGGAAGTTCAGAGGGAGGATCAAGCCCTTGCTGTCACCGAAACTGTGGGAAAGACAAAAAAACTCTTCAACAAAATTTTTAGTGTTAGAGAATCAAGGCATTGCTTTATTCTGGCCAGGATGTGCAACAAAAATAATTTCATCCACACACAGCCTGAGTTGTGCAGAGAAAATCATTCCATGACACATGAATTTTATTAGATTTTTCAGATACTTACATAGTTGAAACCCAGGGAAATTCATTGGTTTAATGTTCATTGGTCCTAAGTCAGGCAGTTCCCAGTATTTGGTTTTTACTGGGTACATGTTGGTGACACTGTGACCTATCAATGCCAGCTCTGCTGTCCCTGCAGCAGCCTCTGGTTAATCTTGTTCAGGCTTTGGAATTTTGAGCCTGTGCAGCTGATGAGGTTGTCAGTAAAGGCTCTGCCTTTGAAGTTGGTGTGATCTTCCACCCAGTCTGACTTAGGCCAGAATCCTAATGAGGATTTTCCAAATACACGTGATCAAGACAAAAAAGT